CGTCAATAATTCAGGATCATTAAAATCTGCGTTTCCAGTTCTAAATAAGTCCTCTAAGGTTTCTCGGGCTATTACATGCGACTGTCCAAAGAGCTGTTTTAGGATGGCCTTAGCTCTCTTATATCCTGCTTGTGGATCCATTATAATACAACCTTCAATCGCATTTTTTGCCCTTCCCTTACAATAATGAATTAAATACAATAAACGAACTTGGTCATCTTTTATTCTGGGTTCTATAAACGTTTCGATTTGGCGCATAAACCTAAAGTAGTCGTGAGACTTTCCATCAAACTATGAAAGTTCGACCTTAGGTAGTTCTAAACCTACTATCAGTGTCCTAAGCATCTGATCGGTCTCTGGTACCTTAGAACTCTCACTTAATTCTGGTTCCTCAATGCCTGCCAAAGGTGACTTACAATAATAAGTATCAGACATAACATGTGGGTTACCCATAAAAAATTCATCATTAACGACTTGCTTAGAGTTCTGTGATCCGTCGAGCTCTTCCACCCTCCTCATGTTTGACTTCTTTCGACTTGACATCATAAATGAAGTTCAGTATAAGAAAAATAACAAATACAAAATATAGTAATTCCACAGTTCAGTTCAAGAATATGATAAATAATCCAAATTTCTTCTTTCAAGAAAGTCTAGTGTGATAAACGATTAAAATTCCAAATGTTTCTTTATAATTCTTAATAATCCAACTGTAATTGGACTTCTAATCAAATGTAATAGATAATTCCAGAATATAAACGTTCATAGGAATATTTCCAGAATATAATCGTTCATAGGAATAATTCCAGAATATACACGTTCATAGGAATAATTCCAGAATATAATCGTTCATAGACATATTTCCAGACTGTAAATGAACTGAATTCCAATATTAGTTAGACTGTAGTTGAATTCTTCATCGTGACAGTTCAATTCGATTCCAATAGACGTAGGTTGGACGCACTTCCCGATTTTGAAATTAAAACACAATAATTCTAGGGGAAAATGGTCTATTTACAAATTACAAATGGAAATACAAATAATACCTAACTAATATTACGTCTTCCAATTCAGAATTACTCCAAACGAGTATCAATGTTCCGAGGTTTAGGTGAACTCCTATACTGCACGATGATGAATCCAAAAATGTGGCGGTAGCCATATTATATCAAATTTAAACAACATATGTACAGTTCAGAAGCAAACACAAAAACTTCAATATAAGTACAAAATATAGAAAGAATAACAATATACAATGATAAAATCTCAAATTGGAATCAAATAAAATACCAAAAATGTCAACAGAAAAAGTCCGTCATGTCATAGCAAAAATATGTAAACATGGAGGGATTTTCCAAAACACAAAACATTCCTAATGTATTCTGCAATTGGTATCTAAAGAGGTAGATATAGAGTTGCACTCGATAGACTTCTCATCATCCGTTGAGATCCAGAAGGTATTGACAGTCAGCAAACTACCGGCAGTCCACATAACTGTGCCAACGGCGCATCAAATGGCATCCTATTTAAAGGACGTAAGTTTTCCGAGAGTAGAAGATGAGTATGGTAAAGTGTTGATCGGGTGTAATGCACCGAGAGTACACGAGACGAAAGAGATGAGAACTGGAAAGACAAATGAACCGTCTTATGTGAGGACTTTATTGGGTTGGACGCTGTTCGGTCCTTACAGGGAATACAGTGATAACAACCGAGTACTTAATCACCTCTCGGCTAAGGAGGATCTAGAAGATAAGTTTGAACAGTTGTACTCAACTGAATTCAGAGACCCATTTAGTCATACCCCATCTATGTCTGTGGAAGATCGTATAGCATTCAACGCTATATCAAGCACAGTGCAAAGGTTAAATGGACACTACCAAATAGCTCTGTCTTGAAGGCACGAACACAAGTTACCTAATAATAAAAAATTAGCAGAAAATAGACTCAGCTGTTTAAGAGATAGACTTGTTAGGGATGCGAAGCTGTTCCAAGACTATGTGAACGCTACGACACAATATAGAGAAAGAGATTATGCCGAGAAGAAATCAAATTTGTTTATTATGGAAAGTAACAATGAATGTGATGAAATTCAGATAAACCTGAATGAGCAAACCTTCCTCAGACTAAATCGATAGATCATGATTTTTCTAGTTCTCCTTCTAACCATTCTGTTTCTCTCACAGAGGCTTCCGTTGCATCACTCGAAGCATCAAATGAATTAGCTAAGTCGCCTACCGTTCTATCAAGTCCTGCTATAGCTAAGAAAGACATTCCATCTGATTGTGTTCTCGGATCAAATATTTGATCAAGCGTTGTGAATGCTGATGTGTCAAAAGATGCTTCGGTTGATTTATGGACATCATCATCTACAAGTCATGCTTCTGCTTCATGTCCTTTTATTACATTTGCTAAAGTAGTTACAGCTTCTCAGATAGACTGTTAGGATTTGAAAAATCTAGAAGATTCTGCTAAGGAAGTAGTTGAAGATAAACGGAAAGAAACGTTAACTTTAGCGGAAGTCCACCTAGTTGCTGGTGAAGGAGAAATGCCAGTTATTCGACAGTATTGCCGAGCTCATAATTCCGATAAAAAGAAGTGGAATAATCTTGGACCTTTTCATTTCCATTTAAATGATATGCACAAAAACAGTGCTGCAGAGAATAACGAATCTCCCTGCAGGTCACGGATAGTAATACGTTTGGTGTATAAAGGCAGACTGTTGATTAATACTCTCATTTGGTTACAAATGCCTGCTGCTCTAGTTGACTCACGAACTTTGAGAATTGGTGCAATTAGTGAGGTGGGTAGTTATGTAATGGCTGCGTGGCGCAACGACTTCTAATATCTTGCTGAGGTACTAGCCCATCGTCAGCGACATGGTACAAGAGCAGAGTAGCGCCTACGTTATATTTGGGATCGCGTTGTAGAATGGACACCCGTCAGCAGGTAACGCGAAGTAACTCAGTACAAAATCTATTGTTTTAAAATTCTGTAAAGAGCAAGGTACACTATCCACAAACAAAATCCCTAGTAAATTTGATCTGCAGTATTCATGTAGTAGTAGCAATGACTCTGCATCGGGAACATCTCAAGCTAAAAGAATAAGGACAACTGTGTCAAAAAGCAAGTCATTAGACCGCACTTCGGATCCTGAAACACATCGCCATCGGTCACATCCTACTCGTGTAAGTACAAGTGGTTTCTCTGCCTTAGAAGACAAAAAGACTCTTCTTCCAACATTATTTGATGGAATCATCGAACAGGATGGGATGGTTTGTGACAGGAGTGTCTTCCAGTTTCACAAAGCCTGTCGAAGACGTCGTGAACTGAAGAGAAGGGCTATCGAAGAGAACAACACATGTCCATATGGATTAGACAGTTCTGTATCTGTTTTGAGTCAAACATTCACCATTAGGTCAAACCATCAGAACAGGCGTGGTATTAATTCACAGCACAATTCTATAAGAACTGAAAATTATACAGCGGAAGCTATAGTAGCATACCCGCCCGTATCGTCGATTTCATCTTGCCAGAAAAGTAATGAAATAAAAGAAGGAAACATTACCCTATGCGGATCCAACGAGATGAGTAAACGAACGCTGGGAGTAGAGCAGAATACCCGAGCGGATGAATCGTTTTTCAGAGTTCACGAGTTTCCTAGAAACCTAACCAGAAGGAATATTTTGTCGTCTATAGCATTAATCTTTGATCCCGGAGGGTGTATATGGAAACATATCATAAAGTCAATGAGAAGGAATCCACAACATGGAGACTCACTGTTAGTAGACAATACTGGCTTGCTGAGAAATCTGTGGATGAAAGAGAGGTCAATTATGGTACGGATGGACAAGTCAGAACAGTGCGATTAAAGAGAGCAACCGAAGAAATCAACCGGCATATACTTACCGGGATATGCTGGAAGAAGCTGACTACTTGAACGCTATGGTAGCGAGGTCTGGACGTGGTGGCCGCTTCGGGGAGGAGTGTTAGTTGTTTTATAACTAATTGTAGTTATGCCATAACTAACCAATCAGATTGGTTAGGCGCTCACCACGTTATCTAGTCTGACCGGTCTGTAAACTTTCTTTGTTGTGAATGACCTATCGATTGAAGAATGTTATTATTTTATTTTATATTGATGTGACTCATGTTTTTATTCATTTTCTAAAGACACGCTATACTGGTCGGTACGTTTGCTCGTCTTACTTGATAATTGTAATTTCCTTATTTATTGTACTAATTTAATCGTTTTTTTTGTTTAGAAACAGATAAAGTTTAAAACCAAGTTGTCATTCTTTAACTATAGCTTTACATTTGATTCTGTGATCGCCAGTCTTGCGTTTATTGTTTTAGAATCACATCTGTAGGACAAATTAAATCCTACAATAATCTATTTCCTCTCCCTTGCTCACACTTCTGTGCTCTCGTACAATCTTCATTGCCATTTAATAAACTTAGTTTTCTATTTTTTACTCAGTTCTGAAGAGTTCTTCTTGATAGCCCTATACTTCTCTGCTTATTATTCTACACAGTGAAACTAACTGATTTCCGATCTGGTAATGTGATAGCTGCTGGTATCCAGAAAACCTACTGTCCTGAAACAAACGTAATTATTCAAATCACGGGACATGTAAACTCGTAACCAACTGCCAGTGACTAGGATTAGACAGTCAAGTAGCTGGACCCACATTCATTGGGCACTTCCAAACACCTGAAACCAAGCTGAAAGAACGAGAATCGAGGGCAAAGAAATCAGCTGGTTTATGCAAGCTCGTGAGAAAGATATTGGAAATTGTATTGGTTGATATCATCTTTTTAAAAAGATTTCTATGTAACGCTTTCGAAGCCTCGATCTTTAAACTTTCAGATTTTTATCAGTTTTTCCTCAGTCCACGCTGTTTTCATTTCTGGTTGCTGTCTATTTATTCCTCTATTGCATGTAAGTACATTCCATGTGCTTACTGAGTCGTTGGCTCATCTTTTTCTCATGTTCTTTCTTCCAGTTATTCTCACATGCTGCCCCTCACACACCTCAGTACACAGGGTACCTTCTGGCTAAATGCAAACCAACCAACGGCTGGATATATTGGATATTGGCAGAAAATTACCGGCTGTTTTGCTTTCTAGGTCACTGGCAAGACGTTGTGAGGAAGCTGACATCGCCCTGTACAGTATCTTGATATCGTTGACAAGATTGGTTTTAACTTCCTGGTAACATTCGCAATCACTCGAACAACCTCAGAAGTTAGGTAACTACGAATATATTTGTAACTCAGTACATTAAATGGAAATACATTTTGAGTCAAACTTATCTTTGGTAAAATACACATCTTATCTTGGTACTAAATTTATTTTTACCTTATAATTACAAGCCAGTGATTGATAATTAATAGTAGTTTATTGAGATCACGATCTATATTCGCTTCGTAAAAAAACTTACGACCGAACAACTCCCTAGATTTCTCTAATTAATGTACTTAACTGTGCGGACTAACTTAGCTATTGTGTTTCATTGATAGATGAGTTCTATATACCGAAACTGATTTACCTTAACTACGGGTTTTACTCCTGATGGTTAGTGAAATCCTCTTGACTGAAGCGAAATGTCACTACTTATTCTATGTAAACCTACATTTTAGTTTTATGATTCTGAAAGTTCATATTTGGAGCTTGCTTTCAAACATCAGTCAGTCAGTCAGTTACTACGTAGAACTTCATACGTACGTACATAAGTTCAGGTTGACATACTGCATTAGCGCAGAGACGCAACTGTCAGTTCAAATCCAGTATTGTTAGCCATAGTAGAAGTTTTAGCAGTAATGGAAAAGATTAAGGAGTGGAAATGTGATTCGAGAAGTATAATTCGGTATGATAAATTTAGAAGGAGAAAGGTAGAGATTATGAGGAATTCAGAAGTTTCGAATTTGAGAACACATAGAGTGGATGCACCTGCATAATTGCAAACGGTTTTGAGCCATGTCATTCAAGGTCTCTAACCATCGGTTACTGTCATCTTTTTAGTGATTTCACAGATTTCTGTGAAGTTTTCGTCTGGCCACCCCTAGCTTTCGTCCGACCTATTCCTATAACGTAGAACATAGCTCGAGGAGGCAGTCGGTGTTTGGGCATTCGTAACACATGTCCCAACCACCTCAACTGATGAAGTTTCACTACTTCATCTACTGATTTGCCACCTCTACCTAATACTCGATTCACAACGACAGTATTGCTTACTCGGTTGTCCCAGGATACACGAGCGATGCTTCGAAGACACCTATGATAGAAAACAAGCAACCTAAGATTATATTCTACTCTGACTGGCCTAACATCACAGCCATAAAGTAGGACGGAGCGAAATTCTGCGCAGTGCACTCGTCCTTTAGTCAGCAAACGGAGATCTCGCCTACGCCATAAGTGACGCAGATTGGCAAAAGCCAGTTGAGCCTTCTGTATCCGTGCTGAGATCTCGTCACACACCAGGCCTTCAGCACTGATGAGACGCCCAAGATAAGTGAAGCGGTCAACACGCTCAAATGCTTCACTCCCTATCACTAGTTTACGTGCCGTCACAAGCCAATCTTGGTGCAACACCCTGTATTTGGACGGATAGAATTGCATCCCGATCATGCTTGCATTGTTGCTTACGGAGTCAGGAGACCCTGCATTTTGTCAGCATCCTTCAACAAGTAGAACTATGTCATCGGCATATTCCACGTCAACAAGCGATTTTCCTGGTAGAAGGTCCACTTCTGTAAATTCAGACGAAGATAATGTAGTATCTAAAAGCATGTGTACGACTAAATTAAACGTGAATAGATAGAGTGGACATCCCTGACGGTAACCACTTGAAGTAACTAATTCAAACATAGACGAATGTAATGCTGTATAAAATAGGTATCAACTCATTAAGTTGACACAGTGGTATTTCGAGACGTACTGTTTTGTTTTTATGATGATTTTAATGAAAGACTTAAAACTTGGGTCTAATAAATTCACCCGAATATCTTAAAATGCAAGTGTTTAACATTCTGTCGCTTATAAAAATGTGATTATTTTCCTTTACCCCAAATTCTTAGTGTAGAAAACTTGTGGTTAAACAAAAATGGCCCGTCAATCTCGTGGCTCGGAATCTAAGAGAGTGGTATGATTTCCGAATGAAACTTGGTGTTTAAAAAATTTATAGACAGCTGAATTGTTCACCCTAACGTATGGTGCTCTTGTTGCTAATATTGTTAAAGATTTTGATACAGACGCAGAAATAAACGAACAGTTGGATAAAATGTAAGCCGCTTAATAAATTTTACTAAACGTGATTTCCTTCAATTAGCGGATTCAATATGGGTCTGAAATTGGTTGAAGACTACTTAGCGCGTGGAAATCCTGGTCGTTGTAATGACTTTAGAGAAACCGCTGAGGCAGTTGTAAAAGTAAACAAATAATAAGACAGTTGTTGTTTGTTTAATTATTCGTTCACATCTCATCTTAACAATATCTGGGCCAACAGATAAAAAATTAAGTATTTGGAATGCTTTCCAATCTTAGAAATGAACTAATACTCTGTTACTAGTTTGGCATTTATATAAAAAGTGTTATGAGTACACACGTTGACTTAAGTGTCAATTCAAAAAACAAACTTTAGATAAAATACTCCAATTTTAACTCCTTTTTTAAATAGTATCTCATTTTCTGAAGCTGAGGCTAATTATAAGCCAAGAACAATGTGAGGTTTGTTTAAGTGTAATTACTGATTGCTAATCAAAAAGGGGTTTGTGGACTTCATTAACCATCATGATCTCCATTCAAATACATCCTTCATATGGTAACCAATATTGGTTTTTGGAACGGCAATAATAATTACTAAAAAGGAAGGTTGTTTAGCGTTTGAAAGTGCTGAAAGGAAAATCACATAGTTCGATCCTCGATTCCTCGGTCAGTCACTATCGTTATGTAGCCTACCAAAAATTAGTCCTCGATGCGACAGCTTCAATAAATTGTCGTGTGTTTGAAGACTGCGGAATATTCTTGCCGATGCTCTTATGATTAAAGTGTTTTGAATCGCCGTATTCATTTCTCCTGTAGTATTTGGAATTATTTCTTTAATAATGCGAGAACAAAACAAAATCATCTATAGGTTGACCACTATTGTATTTCAAGGTAAATAAAGCTGTAGTTTGATTGTATATTTAAATATCTCAGTAATCTGTTTAATCCTCAGTTTAAAAACTAACTTATGCGTTTAGATACCTATATTTATCTACCGTATGGTCATAAAACACGTGAAACTTTAAAAGTAGGGAATTTATTTGAAATCTAACATAATTAGGCTGTATTCATCTACCGACATAGTTTGGATATATGTATATATTTCTTTAAAATGGATATGAATGATTTTCAAAGTAAAGCTTAGTAGAGGCAAAAAACAAAAAGGAAAATCTAACACTTTGAATAAACGCGTCATAAACTGTGAAAATAAAACAATGTTTTCGAAATCTCAGTGCAGTTAATTTTCATCTGGAAATCCAATTTCTAGATATCCGTACAGATACTTTAAAATAAATAAATACGAATCAGTAATTACATACATGTTCATGTATGCTGAGAACTATATCTGTAAGACAATTCCAAATGATAATTCATAGCTTTGAAGACCATACTAAGTCTAAAAACTTCACTACTTAGCTGTTAAAAGGGAGAATAGCTCTAACGGAAGATGATATATTTTAAGGTTTTTAGTACTGTTGAATAAAATCTTGGCTGATAGGTAGCCCTCGATTATTGTGAAACCTAGCCAGCTGATAATTATTTATAAGATCGAGTTATTGACACAAACTACTAAGTGAACTAATAGATCAAAATATAAAACAGACTGTGGAATAACTTTGCTAGTGGATTAATATATTTATATGTAAAGAGAATTATGATTAGATGTCATTCCAAACGATAAAAAAGTTAGGGGATAAGGATTTTTTTTACAGATAGCGCAATAGCCGATGGATTTATAGGCCGCGTTTAAATTTGGATCGCAAGATTTATCACTGCAGAACATGAGATTGAAAGATTAGACGAAGTATATCAGTGGGTGGTTTGAATTTTTGCAGTCAAGCTTCAGTTTCATACGGTTTAAAACAAACCTTGATGAAATTTTGACATAGAACTATCAATTTTTATCAGAGCATTTTGTTAAACAGACTATAATTGGACAAGACAAGAAATTGTGACCAAACATTGAATTTCAACCTTAAAAAGCAATATACATAAGTTGGGGAGTTAATAGTTCTTCTCGAAAAAAAGAAATGTGGAGAAACCACGTGGTCTATAGACACATAGTTGATAGTGTTTAATTTTCAGCTATACATAAATTCATGAAATAAAGTATGCATTATATATCCCATCACTAAAACTGTTGTCGTCAATAATTGTTACATGTACTAATTACTACTTTTTGAATTTTCACTTTACCCATTTTTAGGGCTTCAAAATCTTTTTAGGCATAACTCCAACTGCTTGTAAATTTAGTTCAGCTGGTGATGAATTTAGTCTTGTATTGGAAAATAATCCTTTAACAGAATTTGTTGATCTTCCTGCTGAACATCAAAACCTACTTTATTCCAACGTATTGGCTGGTGCTATACGTGGTGCTTTGCATAATGTAAGATATTTACGTGTTTATGTTTACGGGAGCACGTTGAAGAAAATTTAAGGGTGATCAAACTAATACTTAGAATTAGTCCATAAGCAGTGTACTTAGATAGGAATTATTTGATTGCGGTCTGGGCGATCGTCGTAGCTAGTGATTAAAGACGAGTAATATGGTTCAGAATCGGTTGAAATGATGCGGACACTTTCACTTTTTGTCTGTCATCAAATCTTCAGTTTTAGAATTACCTTGTGTGTTTTACTCAACTAATTCTTGTCGAATCATCTTATTTTTTACTGCTGAATTCCACCTGGGTCCCTTTCGGGGCTACTGCCGGTCCGAAGCCCGGTTAAAGGGGTAGGGTTGGGCTTGGGGTTGGCGATCCCATCCGGTAGACGCTAACGAGAAAAAATAATTCAAACCATTTAAACTCTGCTCTGGGAGTTTGAAGGTCTTCATTTTGATGAGTTATGACGTCTCATGATGAAAGATGAGTTCCCTCGGAAGTCAGGAGGCCGATGTCCCTTCTGACAACCACAGCCTTACCACAGTATGGGCAGCCGGGAAGTAATACCCGCCCTCATACCCTTAAAAGCACACGAGACCAAATCGGTCACAATCAAATCTTTTCCAAGCCTTCCAATGACTCTCTTATCAAAACGTCCCGACTGTAGCTGCTACGTTGACGTGGTGGCCGGGCTTGCCTATCGTGATGATCCAACCGAACTGTATTGGCTGGAACTTATGTTCCTGAAAGTTCCACCATGCCAGGCAGGTCGATGGGAGTACGATAAGACTAAGAGCAGCTACGTAGGTCTGAGGGCGAAGTCGTACTGCTGACTGTAGAGAGGTGTGACAGCAGTAAGGTGTTTCCCTGAGACAACCAGCATCTGCAGCGATGCTACCCCTTCTCACAAGGAAGGAAGGGTTAGAAAAGGTCGACCCTAAAAATGTCACACCTCACCCTAACTCACGGATTTCCGTCTCCGGTGGTAAGGGTGCCCACTAAGGGCCTTTAAGAGCGGAGCTAATACTCAAAAAACCCTTCATAAAAAAGTCGTGCGTGACCGGCCTCAAGCAGTTGTCCCTTGGACTCTGCGGTAACGCTCGCAGGTCGTTCAGGCCAACGCTAATCTATCTTCCTTTTCAGGTTCCTCAAGAAACAACCTTCCACAGTGTGGGCAGCCGGGAAGTGACAACCGCCCTCATACCGGTAACAGCAGGCGAGACCCAATTGGTCAAAATCAAATCCTTCCTACACCCCCTAATGCCTCTCTTCTCTTCACAACTAACTCTAATTAAATTCCTTCAACACACTGCACAGCTAATGCAAACGATGCGACTTCACGAAACGTCGTTCCTGGTCTCCTTAAACCCTGTTCTAGACTACATGTTGAAGCATTTAGTGTACGGACATGGTTTCAAATAGGGCAACAGGATTCGTTAGCTAGAACATTAGAATCTCGCTCAATCGATGTATGCTGCGTCTCGGAAACGCACATACAGGATCCGAGTTGCATCATTCACTTGACCTCACCATGTCATGATAAAGCAGCAACTCGATTTACCGTTCGTGTACCCTGATGCTGCTTTCAGGGGTCTCGCTGGTGTAGGTATAGCATTGAGTCGTAGGGCAGAACTATCTCTCCTAGACTGGATTCCTGTAGAGAGTCGCTTGTGCGCCGTCCGACTAAACGGGCTAGTAAGGATTCGGAAGGATAGGGACACTCGTCGTTGCCTCTTCGTCATATCAGCCTACGCCCCTACTGACTGCAGTTCAGACGAGGTGAAAGATGAGTTCCACAGAAAGCTTTCGGACCTCCTCTAAAATGTTAAGCGCTCTAATATAGTTCTAATGGCTGGTGACTTCAATGCTCAAGTAGGTAGACTAAGTGAGAATGAAAGACACCTGGGTGGCTGTTATAGTGTCGCGGCTAATCGAAAAGATAATGGCGACCGTCTGCTGCATCTATGCTCAGAAAACCGCTTATTTCTAGCAAACACTAATTTTAAGCGTAAGGAAAAAAAATCTTTTGACCTGGCGACCCCTGAAGTCGTCTCAACGTTTGACCCAACTAGATCACATCGCCATCAGTCACCGACGGAGGGGGTTCGATAGAGGACTGTCGCCCCTTCTGGGGCACATGTTTAGATTCAGATCATGCCGTAGTGCGAGCTCGTATCTGTTCGAGGCTTACTGGACGCAAGAAAACCTCTTAGGGCTTTACTTAATAGTAATCAAGCTAAGAAAATATTTCAGGAGGAACTAGAAAAACAGTTAGGCGACTATGCAAGTGATTCACATCCGGAGGCAGCTTGGAATGATATCAGGAAGGCTATGAAAACAGCAGTGTTATCTCTGAACATGACGAATAGCGAAGTCAGCTTAGACGCAGACTGATAAAAAGCCTACGTAACGACCGCGAACAGTGACGGGTGGCGAGATCGATGGAAAAGGCAGCGGCTATAGGCAACAACAGACAGTTGTACTGACTTATCAAGGAAACTGGTATTAGGAACCCAAATGTGAGACCATTTCGGAAAATGATGGTCTCATTGTCCATTCTCAATCCAGGAGATTGGACTGATGGGTAGAACACATCAAGGATCAGTTCAACTGGCCTCGAGCCACTCTTCGGTTACCCAGTTATCCAGTCATCCTGAATGGCAAATCGATTTAAGTCCTCCTAGTCTATATGAAGTTGAGAAAGCTATAGGAAATCTAAAGCAAGGTAGAGCAGCAGGTCCTGATAGGCTTCTCCCGTGAGATGTTTAAGGATGGTGGTCCAGTTTTAACAGTTAGACTGACCGACATCTTAGGTAGCATCTGGGAACTGGACGTACTCGAGCTCTGTTCTGCGATATAGGAATAGGTTGGACGAAAGCTAGGGGAGGCCAGACAAAAACATGGAATAACTCCATGAAGTCACTGACAAGTGGACTGAGTCATGTTGTCAGGTGTAGGCTACCTGGTTGGGGTCCGCGAGACGAAATTCACCAATGGTTAGAGACCTTGAACGACATGGCTCAAAATCGTTTGCAATGGCGCAAGTGTATCCATTCGTTGTGCTCTCTCAAATCCTAATCTTCTGGATTCGTCAGCAACTGTACCCTTGTCTTTCTAACCTTATCTCACTGAATTATAATTCTTGAAAAATATCTGCAAACCCTAGTCTTCTTCATTACCATTAAAGCCTCTACTATCTCTATCACTATGGGAATTTATTTGACATTTGGCGAAATGAACTTATGTACATACGTACGAAGATCTACGTTGTAACTGACTGACTGACTTATCACCACTAACAACCCTTCTTTCGATCGTTTATCATCTGGTGCCCTTGTAGCAAACGATTCGAACTCACGAAATGTTATTGCTGGCCTCCTTAAATCCCGCTCTAAATTACATATTGGAGCTTTGAATGTTCAAACCTTGTGCCAAATACTGCAACAGGCTTCATTAGCTAGAACTCTGGAATTCCGTGCAATCGATGTATCTTTTATCTCCGAAACGCGCATACAAGATCCAGGTAATTGGCCTTCAGCCACACTTCGGTTACCCACGATCTCCAGTCAACCTGAATGGCAAATCGACGCAAGTCGTCCGACTCTCTATGAAGTTGAGAAAGCTATAGGATAGCTGAAGTGAGAGAGAGCAGCAGGACGCGATAGATTGACTCCCGAGATTTTCAAGGATGGTAGTCCAGTTTTAGTAGCTAGATTGACTGAGATCTTAGGTAGAATCTGGGAACTGGGTGTAATGCCATCTGACTGGTCTCAGTTGCTGATTGTCCCAATTTATGAGAAAGGACAAAAGTCCTCTTGTTACAATCACAGGGCAATCAGTCTAACTAATATAGTTTCTAAAATATTGGCCCCTCAATAATACCCCGCCTCTTTACGAAAGCTCGTGAAGAGCAGACTAGAGAAAACCTGGACGTGGATGTATAGACCACATCTTCACACTCAGACAGGTCCTGGAACACAGACACATTTAAGTGTCCGACCTTAAGACAGCATTTGACTCTGTTGATCGTGAGGTTCTGTAGCAGTGTCTGTCATTGAAAGGTGTACCAGAGAAGTACATTAACTTTATACAGGCTTTCTACTCGAACGCCACTGGTCGAGTGAGAGCTTATGGCGAACTGTCATTGGATTTATTTGCTTCAAGTGGTTACCGTCAGGGATGTCCACTCTATCTATTCACGTTTAATTTAGTCGTACACATGCTTTTAGATACTACATTATCTTCGTCTGAATTTACAGAAGTGGACCTTCTACCAGGAAAATCGCTTGTTGACGTGGAATATGCCGATGACATAGTTCTACTTGTTGAAGGATGCTGACAAAATGCAGGGTCTCCTGACTCCGTAAGCAACAATGCAAGCATGATCGGGATGCAATTCTATCCGTCCAAATACAGGGTGTTGCACCAAGATTGGCTTGTGACGGCACGTAAACTAGTGATAGGGAGTGAAGCATTTGAGCGTGTTGACCGCTTCACTTATCTTGGGCGTCTCATCAGTGCTGAAGGCCTGGTGTGTGACGAGATCTCAGCACGGATACAGAAGGCTCAACTGGCTTTTGCCAATCTGCGTCACTTATGGCGTAGGCGAGATCTCCGTTTGCTGACTAAAGGACGAGTGCACTGCGCAGAATTTCGCTCCGTCCTACTTTATGGCTGTGATGTTAGGCCAGTCAGAGTAGAATATAATCTTAGGTTGCTTGTTTTCTATCATAGGTGTCTTCGAAGCATTGATTTTTCATCTTGTGATTATCGAATAAGCAAAGCAGTTTTAACTCCGCCGGCTTGAGGTCGGCGACCGCACCCCTAAAAAACTAATTCACTAGAAAACGCTAGCCAGAAAACATACTTCAAACCCTGGGAATTAGAAGGTCTTCTTCTAGAAGAATTATGACATCTCGTGATTGAAGCCGATTTCCTTCGGAAGTCACGATGCTGATTCTCCTTCTGACTACCAGAGCAACCATTCTGTTAGGTACATGGAACGTTCGAACATTGTGGGAGACTGGAAGACTATTTCAAGTTGCTGCAGTTGCTGCTTGGAATCAGTGAAACACATTGGACGCAGTTTGGTCAACAAACACTACTTTCAGGGGAACTGCTGTTAAACTCTGGTCATGAAGGAGAAAATGCATCGCTCACACAAGAATTTGCACTGATACTGTCCATACAAGTACAAAAGGAATTGATAGCATGGGAATATCATGCACCAAGAATCATCAAAGCATCCTTCAAAACAGAAATAGGGCATTAGAAAGAACGTCATCCAATGCTATGCGCCTACCAACGACTACGACGAAGACGCCAAACATCAATTCTACGAGAGGCTGCAGTCAGTCGTTGAGAGAGGCTCATCGAAGGAATTGACCGTTTTGATGGGAGACCTAACTGTCAAGGTTGACATGGACAACATTGGATATGAAGACATGATCGGACGACCTAGACTGGGAGAAATGAACGAAAACGGTGAGAGATTTGCAAACCTATGTGACTTTAACATACTAGTAATTGGTGGCACCCTAACCTCTCCGATTACTTCTAATTCCCTTACTACCTCTACTTTTATTGGATTTGAATTGACAATTATATCTCTGTGCTGATGTGGTATGGCAACATAAACTGATGTACTTACGTACCAAGTTCTACGTTGCATCTGACTGACTGACTGGTGGCACAGTATTCCCGCAAAATGCATACACAAAGGTACATGGATTTCACCCTATCACACTACTCAGAATCAAATCGACCATATCTGTATCAATAAAAAGTTCAGAAGGACCATGCAGGACGTTAGGACCAAGAAAGGAGCTGATATAGACTCAGATCACCACTTGCTGGTAGCCAAAATAAAACTGAAATTGAAGAAGTATTGAACAACGGGGCGGACAGCGCAACATTGGAGAACAATTGGTAAGGGATCAAGGAGGCAATCACTTCAACATGTTAAGAGGTTCTGGGCCACAGGAAGTACCGTCACAAGGAATGGGTCTTTGTTTGTACTCTTGAAAAAATTGAAGAAAGGAGGAACAAGAAGGCAGCAATCAACATCAGCCAAACAAGAGCAGAGAAAGTTAAGGCACAAGCTGAATACACAGAAACAAACAGGCAAGACCAAATTGACCATATCTGTATCAACAAAACGTTCAGAAGGACTATGGAGGATGTGAGAACCAAGAGAGGAGCTGATATAGCTTCAGATCACCACTTGCTGATCGCCAAAATGAAACTGAAACTCAAGAAGCACTGGACAGCGATGAGGACAACATCACAGAAGTTTAATACGGTCTTTCTTCGGGATACCGTAAAACTCAACGAATCGAAGATAGCCCTCACCAATAGGTTCCAGGCCTTTCAGGATCTACTCGATGGAGAGGACGCAATATTGGAGAACAATTGGAAAGGGATCAAAGAGGCAATCACTTCATCATGTCAGGAGGTCCTTGGTCGCAAAAAGCACCATCACAAAGAATGGATCTCTGTTGGTACTCTTGCAAAAATTGAAGAAAGGAGGAACAAGAAGGCAGCAATCAACATCAGCCAAACAAGAGCAGAGAAAGTTAAGGCACAAGCTGAATACACAGAAACAAACAGGCAAGTGAAGAAGCGCATTAGAGCTGAAAGACGAAAATATGTGGAAGATCTAGCAATGAGGGCGGAAAAGGCTGCAAGAGACGGAAACTTGAGACAATTGTACGAAACTACAAAGAAGCTCGCCGGGAACTATCGTAAATCATAACGACCAGTGACAAGCAAGGAAGGCAAAGTAATCAGCAACACTGAACAACAGCGAAATAGGTGGGTAGAGCACTTTAAGGAACTCCTAAATCGACCAGCTCCACTGAACACACCCAACATCGAAGCAGCATCCACGGACCTCCCAATTAATATTGGCGCACCAACTATTGAAGAGATCAGTATGGTGATCAGACAAATCAAGAGCGGCAAAGCAGCTGGACCAGATAACATTCCAGCAGAGGTAATGAAAGCAGATGTGGAAGCAACTGCGAAAATATTTCACATTCTCTTCAAGAAGATTTGGGATGACGAACAAGTACCATCAGACTGGAAAGAAGGATACCTGATCAAAATACCAAAGAAAGGCGATCTGAGCAAGTGTGAGAACTACAGAGGCATCACTCTTCGATTTTTAATAGCACTGAATAAATAGTGCTAGGTTTAGTCGTGGGATGAATGTAAATATTTTCATTAAATTAAAAACATTTTGTTTTTATGAAACAGAAAACTCATAATCAGAAAAGATTCTTGTTGAGTGCATGCTGCCATTAAAAATGCAGTAAAGTATACTTCAGTGTTTTTATCACTTTATTGATATTCCCTCAATTCTGCCTAATTTCTTATTATGAACAATTGATAATATCATCATCATCATCATAGTATTAGTACATTAATATTAATATATTAATAATATAAGGCAAACTTTACTACTTTAACAGGTGGACATTAGAGTTTTCAAAGCCAGATAGATATTGAACTGGTTTTATGTTTGTACCACTGTGTTTAATGGTGTATTAAACTCTTAATCTATTGACCATAACTTACAACCAATTTGTTTCCCTTATTAATTCGTTTAACTCAATAAGTTCACTCAACTTCCATTCACATTTATTATGTAATATTTAGAAAAATAGTACTCAATTGCTCAAAACAAATACAGATAGAATATAGTTTGATCTGATAAGTACCAAGTGGCATGAAATCTAAATCCGCAGATTTCTACAGTCTACATCTTGCCACCTAACAACGAAAACATAAGGCCTGCAATCTTGAGTTACCTTAGATTAATGATCATATTGCAACATGAACAACAATCTAATTTTCACTGAAGACTAGGAAAATTTGTTAATGATTACCACTCGATTAATCAGCACAAATATCTAAGTTTTACGAGAGGTCAATCAAATCTGAAATCGTTTAGTGGCAACATCTGAGACATTGAATCACGGTGGGTTCTTATGCCTTAGGCATCAGTCCCCTTAAGGCTGCGGATATGTCCTGTTGACAATTATCATTGAATACAAAGTCAAAGGCTTAGAGGCTTCTTACGTTTGATCTCAAACACCATATGTGAAACAATTCAAGGTGCAAGTACTTAAAATCTTCATTTTAGATATATTGGATTTATGCTAAAATTCTTTTATTTGTTACTATCATTTATTTTGTAACTTACTTTTTATGTTATGAAATCTTGTTTAAGGTACAGCTTGAAGTTGAGTCTCGATTTGTTCAAGACCAATTACGCGGTGATCAAATCAATGAGATACGTGTGAAATTTATTCGTCGTATAGAAGAAGTTATTCCAGGCGATGATTAATTCATCACGTTTATTTTAATATTCTGAATCAAGTTATATTAATGTATTCATTGATTGTATTTTCACTTTGAATTGTGTTTTCTATTAATGAATTCTTTTCACAAAATGCATTTTCTGTACTAAAACTTGGAAAAATCTGGCTGTGCAAATAAATTCCATTATTTTCCCAGTGTTTTTGCTTATGTTTTATTTGACTACTTAAATTCATATCAGTAAGTAACGATTTGATACCTTTTTTTAGCAATGGCTGTAAATTCACAGTATTCACATACCACCACACCAATTATAGAAGCTTGGTTAATTAAAGCTCTTCGTCTTGTGCATTCAAAAAAAGCTGGCGATCGTGAGAAACTACGTAAATTTTATAAAGAAGCTTGTGAAAATGAAGCGCAAGTTGTACATATGACTATTGCTGAAGCTCTACGTGAAACTCGCGACAGTAGTAATACAAATTATGAATCAATTGAAGTAAGTTGGTTGGAGCTTTTAATAAAGTCAAAATAATACTTGTTTCCTGTGATATTTATTTGTCTATATATATAAATTCACTACGCCTATCTGAAATTCAAAGTATACTTTAAACCAAGTTTCGTTTTCGCTAATGATTTCTTTAGAAAATCATCTATGTACTTGATTTATTATATCTTAAACTCTCTTTTATGCATATATAAATTATTTATGTATGTTAATTTAGCGAGATACATCAATGTCTACTCACTCTACACAACGAATCCGTACAACGCAATCCATAAATGATTCAAACCAATCTATATCTCCATCGATTTGTATAACAACTACTACTAATACAACTACAAAGGATTCTATAGGTTCAGTAAATATGAATCATAGTGGAACATCAATATATAATCCGATTCCTATCTCTAATCCTGATCAACCTATAAGCTCGACTATTAATAGTAATAATAATCCTGGTATGCCTACATCACCAGTGATTGGAACTACTGTACATTCTTCCAATTCAACTATAAATCGTACAAACAGGCGTAATAAAGTAGCATTTTTCAATATTTTCGATGTTGCTTCATCAACATCTACTAACAGTTCCATATCAAATACTACAATAGTTTCCAAAAATAATACAACACAACGGTCTTTAAATCAGTTAGATACAACACTCTCAATCGAATCAATTGGTATGTTGTGATTATGAAGTGTATTTTGTTTACTTTTTTTCCGCTTTAATTTTTTTGATTATTGAATTGATGTCTGTTGGTTTAAATAGTTATATTTAGTTATTGTTGTTGTTGTCGAGTTGATAGTGAATATCTTGTAGTTCCAGATGGAGATTTTAAAGGTGTACTATTCTCTAAGTTTGACAGTTTAGTTGGGAAGCTTTTGTTGTCTTCCTAGAAAAAAATCATTTGTACATTCTCTTGAACTTTAATGTTTGTGTTATTATCATATACACCTTCATTTTCGTCCAGTGGCTTTTTAAAAAAATATTTAATGGAGATTAAGAACTAAATTCAGTATGATAATTAGTAGTTTCAAAGTAAACTTTATTTTGAACTGGTTAGATCAATGGTTTAAGCAGTATTCCATCAATTTTTATTTTAATCACCTGTAAGGTATCATTAGCTCTCATACAAACAAAAAAAATTTAACTATCAGCTGAATATAAAAATCTTTACTTGATAAATAAATGAAGTGACTTTAACTTACAATAAGATTACATAATTTAGATTGCACAATTTATTTTGTAAAACTTTTAAAATCGAAATGCTAGATTTTCAGTCAGTCAGTGACAACGTAGAACCTCGTACATAAGTACATCAGTCAGTCAGTCAGATGCAACGTAGAACTTTGTACATAAGTACATCAGTTCATGTTGCCATACCACATCAGCACAGAGAAGTAATCGTCAATTCAAATCCAATAGTAGAAGAGGTAGTAAGGTTATTAGAAGTAATCGGAGAGATTAGGATTAGAAGATACTATTCAAGAAGTATGATTCAGTGAGAAAAGTTTAGAGAGTCGAAACTAGAGGGGTTGAAGAATCCAGAAGATTAGGATTTGAGAGAACACAGAGAATAAATGCACCGGCGCCATTGCGAACAATTTTCAGCCATGTCATTCAAGGTCTCTAACCATCGATGGCAGCATGCACTCAACAAGAATCTTTTCTGATTATGAGTTTTCTGTTTCATAAAAACAAAATGTTTTTAATTTAATGAAAATATTTACATTCATCCCACGACTAAACCTAGCACTATTTATTCAGTGCTATTAAAAATCGAAGAGTGATGCCTCTGTAGTTCTCACACTTGCTCAGATCGCCTTTCTTTGGTATTTTGATCAGGTATCCTTCTTTCCAGTCTGATGGTACTTGTTCGTCATCCCAAATCTTCTTGAAGAGAATGTGAAATATTTTCGCAGTTGCTTCCACATCTGCTTTCATTACCTCTGCTGGAATGTTATCTGGTCCAGCTGCTTTGCCGCTCTTGATTTGTCTGATCACCATACTGATCTCTTCAATAGTTGGTGCGCCAATATTAATTGGGAGGTCCGTGGATGCTGCTTCGATGTTGGGTGTGTTCAGTGGAGCTGGTCGATTTAGGAGTTCCTTAAAGTGCTCTACCCACCTATTTCGCTGTTGTTCAGTGTTGCTGATTACTTTGCCTTCCTTGCTTGTCACTGGTCGTTATGATTTACGATAGTTCCCGGCGAGCTTCTTTGTAGTTTCGTACAATTGTCTCAAGTTTCCGTCTCTTGCAGCCTTTTCCGCCCTCATTGCTAGATCTTCCACATATTTTCGTCTTTCAGCTCTAATGCGCTTCTTCACTTGCCTGTTTGTTTCTGTGTATTCAGCTTGTGCCTTAACTTTCTCTGCTCTTGTTTGGCTGATGTTGATTGCTGCCTTCTTGTTCCTCCTTTCTTCAATTTTTGCAAGAGTACCAACAGAGATCCATTCTTTGTGATGGTGCTTTTTGCGACCAAGGACCTCCTGACATGATGAAGTGATTGCCTCTTTGATCCCTTTCCAATTGTTCTCCAATATTGCGTCCTCTCCATCGAGTAGATCCTGAAAGGCCTGGAACCTATTGGTGAGGGCTATCTTCGATTCGTTGAGTTTTACGGTATCCCGAAGAAAGACCGTATTAAACTTCTGTGATGTTGTCCTCATCGCTGTCCAGTGCTTCTTGAGTTTCAGTTTCATTTTGGCGATCAGCAAGTGGTGATCTGAAGCTATATCAGCTCCTCTCTTGGTTCTCACATCCTCCATAGTCCTTCTGAACGTTTTGTTGATACAGATATGGTCAATTTGGTCTTGAGTAGTGTGGTCCGGTGAAATCCATGTGGCTTTTTGAATACGTTTGTGCGGGAATATTGTGCCGTCGATTACCAGTTTGTTGAAGGCACATAGGTTTGCAAATCTCTCACTGTTTTCGTTCCTTTCTCCTAGTCCATGTCGTCCCATGATGTCTTCATTTCCAGTGTTGTCCATTCCAACCTTGGCATTTAGGTCTCCCATTAAAATCATCAAATCCTTTGGTGAGCATCTCTTGACAATTGACTGCAGCCTTTCGTAGAATTGATCTTTATCGTCGTCATTGTAGTCGTTGGTAGGTGCACAACATTGGATGACGTTCATTGTAATGTCCTCTTTCTTTGTTTTGAAGGATGCTTTGATGATCCTGGGTCCGTGAGATTCCTATCCTATCAGTGCCTTTTGAGCATGTTTGGACAGCATCAGTGCAACTCCTTGTGTATGTGAAGCATTTTCCTCTTCATGACCAGAGTATAACAGCAGTTCCCCTGAAGCTAGTCTCAGTTGTCCTACTTGTGTCCAATGTGTTTCACTGATTCCAAGCACCTCGATGTTGTATCTTCTCATTTCTGCCGCAACTTGAAATAGTCTTCCAGTCTCCCATAATGTACGAACGTTCCATGTACCTACAAAAAATGGTTGCTCTGGTTGTCAGAAGAAGCATCTGCCCCGTGACTTCCGAGGGAACTCGGCTTTCATCACGCGACGTCCTAATTCTTCTTCCAGCTCTCAGGGCAGAGTTGAAATGGTTTGAATTATTTTTTCTTGTTAGCATTTTTTTGGCAAGTTAGTTTTTTGACGGTATGGGGTCGCCAACCCCATGTCCAACCCTCCTCCTTTACCCGGGCTTGGGACCGGCAGTAGCCCCGAAGGTTCTAATGGCGGAGTTAAATGCCACTTTAAGGTCTAGGGAAACAACTATTGTAGGACGCCTAAATATGTGTCTATGTTCCAGGACCTGTCTGAGTGTGAAGACGTGGTCTATACAGCCACGTCCAGGTCAAAAACCAGCCTGATTTTCTCGAGTCTGCTCTTCACGAGCTTTCGTTAAGCGTCGAAGTATTATTGAGGCCAATATTTTAGATACTATATTAGTTAGACTTATTCCCCTGTTATTGTCACAAGAAGACTTTTGTCCTTTCTTATAAATTGGGACAATCAGTGATTGAGACCAGTCGGATAGGATTGCGTCCAGTTCCCAGATTCTACCTAAGATCTCAGTCAACCTAGCTGCTAAAACCGGACCATCATCCTTAAATATCTCAGGGGTCAGTCTATCAGGACCTGCAGCTCGTCCTCGTTTCAGATTTCCTAACGCTTTCTCAACGTCATTAAGACTAGGCGGACTTACGTCGATTTGCCATTCAGGTTGACTGGAGATCGCGGGTAACGGAGTTGTGGCTGAAGGCCAGTCGAACTGATCCCTAAAGTGTTCTGCCCATCGACCCAGTCTCCTGCATTGAGAATAGATAATAATCCCATCCTTTTCCGAGATAGTCTCACTCACATTCGGTTTCCTAATACCAGTTTCTTTAATAAGGTGGAAAAGTTGTCTACTGTTGCCGATCGCCGCTGCCTTTTCCATCGCTTTCGCTTTCGCCACCCACCACTGTTCACGGTCTTTGCGCAGGCATTTTATGAGCCTTCGCTTAAGCTGACTTTGTTCTTCATCATGTTCAGAGCCAGGTGGGATGAGTTTTCGAGCATCCATCAGATCGGTGGATGCTACTGAAATCCACGGCTTCATCCTAGCCTTATGGTCAACCTTACTAGCAGATATCACTGATGTTTCCAAAGCCTTTTTGATATCATTCCAAGCTGCCTCCGGATATGAATCGCTTGCATGGTCGCTTAACTCTCTTTCTAGTTGCTCCTGAAATATTTTCTTGGTTTGATTATGATTGAGTAAAACCCTAAGAGACTTTCTTACGGTGTCTTTCCTACGTCCAGTGAGCCTTAAACAGATACGAGCTCGCACTAGAGCATGATCTGAATCCAAACATGTACCCAGAACGAGCGACAGTCTTCTATCGAACCACTCCATCGGTGGCTGATGGCGATGTGATCTAGTTGAGTCCAACGTTGAGACGACTTAGGGGGTCGCCAGGTCGCCTAAAGTTGGTGTTCGCTAAGAATAGGCGGTTATCTGAGCACAGTTGCAACAGACGGTCGCCATTGTCTGTTCTCTCAGTCACTACACCATAACATGCACCTAGATGTCTTTCCTTTTCACCTAGTCTACCTACTTGAGCATTAAAGTCACCAGCCATTAATACTATATCAGAGCGCCTATCTTTGAGGAGGAGGTCCGAAAGCTTTCTGTAAAACTCATCTTTAACCTCGTCTGCACTGCAGTCAGTGGGGGCATAGGCAGAAATGACGAAGAGGCGACGGCGAGTGTCCCTATCCTTCCGAGTCCTTACTGTCCCGTTTAGTCGGACAGCGCACAAACGACTATCTACTGGGATCCAGTCTAGGAGAGATAATTCTGCTCTAGGACTCAACGCTATGCCTATGCCAGCAAGATCCCTGGAAGGAGCATCAGGGCTACCGGATACACGAAGAGTAAATCGAGCTGCTTCTTCGTTTTGACAAGGTGGAATCAGGTTAATGACTTTACTAGGATCCTGTATGCGCGTTTCCGAGACGCAGCATACATCGATGGCACGAGTTTCTAAAGTCCTAGCTAATGATGCTTGTTGCCCTATTTGACACAACGTCCGTACATTAAAAGCTCCAACATGTAGTCTAGAACGGGGTTTCAAGAGACCAGGAAAGACGTTTCGTGATCTCGCTTCGTCTGCATTAGCGGTGCAGTGAGAAAAGGGAGTGTCAGTAGAGTTAGTCGTAGAGATAAGAGAGACA